TGTTTGCAACAAATAGCAATAACGTGTTACCATTTTTTGAGAAGATCTTCATTTTAATTATAAATTTGCAAAATTTGAAATATGCATGGTTCTAAAAAATAATTGTTGCCGATTCTTCTTTTTGAGAGCCTTTAGATTCAAAATTTACATCAAGATTAGTGCTTCATATGATGAAAACTTTATAGTTCCAGCAAAAAAATTTAGATGTGATTGTATATATAACTTTTATTATTATTATTATTTGAAGGGATGAGCAAATTGGAGCGTGTCTTTTAACATATATAGAGCATGTCTTTTAACATCTAAAGAAATACAAAATTTAATAACTATAATAATCTGGTCTTATTTCCAATAAAACAAACAGTAATATGTTTAAAATATCTATTTCTTTATTATTTCATTACATAAAAAGTATAAATTAGCTAAGGGCATCTCCAACCGAACATCAAATATGCGTATGACGTCGTTCGGTCGCTCCAGTCGAATGCCTAATCTTCCGCTGTTTGCTTGTGGGTGGACAGAGCGACGCCAATATTGGCGTTGAACGTTGACCCGCTAGATATTTTTTTGTTTGTTTTTTAATTCAAAAAATTGGTTATTAATTTTAAATTTTAAGTATGAGAAAAATATATATTAGAAATATTCATTTTTTAGAAATTCTAGAATGAAGTTCGGTTAGAAAAAAGTTACTACATATTGATGTATTATTACATTTTGGAGTGAAAAATGAGTTGTTCAGTAGGAGATGCCCTAAGAAATAACAAACAACAATGAGAACAATTTATGGATCGAATAATGATTTAAAATTTTGTGATGTCATTATATGATTTAGGGTTTCATTTGTCTCCAATAAGATAGAGAGAAAGTTTGAGGTTTCGTTTGGGACAATTTTTTGTCATTACATTTTCAGTGCTTTCATTGAGTTTTTGTGTAAAAAGTTACTTTTGAAAGCAGTAAGAAAGCTGTCTCAAACGAAGCTTGAAAAAGGCAATGTTGCTTTTCACGCTTTGAATTCCTAAGAATGAAATAGTTTTTAAGATTTTCTTTTTAATTTTAAAATTTATGACATCAAATTAAAACTAATAAAGGATGAACTATAACAAAATTTATAATGTTTTTTTTAGTTAATGTTTCATACGCTAAAAAAACATTATTAATTTTCACTTTTGTTAGGAGTTTTAAGATAGCAAAACTTTAAATATTTTTATCAAATTCTTATTTGTGTCAAAAATGGAATATGTTCATGATTTGGTGTTCATTGTCATCATCTCATTAACATATAATTTATACTAAAAAAGATATGAAAATCCTATATTTCCATATTGTATTTTTCATCATTTGTGTCATTTTTCTTCTCAATAAATGATGAAATAATTTATTAAAAATTCAAATGTAAAATCTTATTATAAATCTAAACGAATTATTATAAATATATAGTCTTAAATGTAAATATAAAAACAAAAATTATGTCAAGATTTTATATAAAAATCATGTGTCAATAATATGTATATATTAAAAATATTATGATAATAATCTCTTAAAATTCTTATGTTACTCGATCTTTAAAATAATTTTAAAATATTTTATTTATTATTTCACACTTGAATAGACTAACCCAAAGCTACATGAATGTAGTTATTAATGGAAACTACAAGTCCTTTTTAGCAAATTTAGTTATTTTCAACATCTCATGAATAGAAAAAAAATATGATTTCTTCTTCTCCTAAAAGGATATATAATATCTATTCTCCATTAATTTTATTTTGCATTATAGATGGATGTATTTAAATTCATTATATTATATAGTTAAGTTAAATTTGAGGTTTTGTAATGTTTTTTTTTTTCAATGCTAAAGAACTACGTTATGCCGCAAAATGTTAGCCATTAAAAATATATATAATATTAAGCGTTGCAGAGATATAGATGAGATATAAAATGAGCATATACGTTAAAAGATTGGAGTAGCTCTAATTGTAAATAAGAAAAGAAAAAAAGTCACCTAAGATGGCTTGGTCACATAAAACGGCGGTCTTGTGATGACCCGATTTGGACAATAAATGTATTAAATTTGCCTTATATTAAAAAAGATTGAGGTAGCCTAAAAAGACTTAGTTAGAAAATATAAAAAATATTATTTTTTTTACTAAATTTAAATAAAAATTCAACTCTTAATAATACACAAAGAAAAAAGATTCATATATCCAACCCCATGCAATGCTATAAAAGCTTAATATTGTTGTTAAAAAAATTATGTTTGCAATAAAGCATAACACCTAAAATTTTTAAATAACATCAAAATAATCGCTAACATTTACTTTGCTAAATTAAAATATACAATTTCATGCCTATAATTTGTTGCAATTGAAACACTGAACTGTAATATGATTATATAAATAAATATAAAAATTTAGATATTATGCATTAAAAATATGAATGCAAATATGTAAAAAATTCATTGATTGAGAATAAGAAATATAACCCTAATGCAATATTAAACTTCGAAAGATTGTAGGCTGACTTGCAATTTAATCCCTGAATTAGTCGAGCCAATTTTATCCACACTCGTTTATTTTTCAATTTTTGCCGTCCACTAAATGAGGAACAATTATTACATCCTCCGACTGGACGTAGAAAGTCGCGCCAAAAAACGAGAAATACCGAGCAAATACCGAACAATACCAAACAATAATGAGGAATACCATTATGTGAAGACCCAATACCGAGTTATACCAAGCTATACCGAGCAATACCGAGTTATACAAAAGTTGTACCGAGTTTTTCCTAGAAAAAAC